CTTTTCTCCGCCCATCCCGCCCCCCCCCCCCCCTCTTCGCGGCCTTGTTTATAGCCGCATATTTTTCGTCCTTGCACTCCTTTCCCCCAACCCGTCCGCCCCTGGCCGGACTCACTGTGCTCATCCTCGTCCTTGCGCTTCATCAGGTCTACGTCTGAAGGCGCGGCGCGGCGCAAGACCAAGTACGAATCGCTGACCAAGCACGCTCGTGAGCTGCAGTCGCAGCTGGCGTCGCAGAGTCTTGGGCCGATCGCGCTGCAAAACCTCGGGTTTGCCACCTCGCTCCCGCCGCCGCCTACCCAACTGCTTCCGCTGACGCGCATGCCGCAGACCGAAGACGCAGTGCGTGGCATTGCGCCGCTGGCTGAGACTGGACCTGGGCAGAGCGAGATCTCGGCCAAGGAGCTGCAGGATGAGATGGCCAAGCTGCAAATGATGCAAAAGATGTTCACGTGCCAGTACCGGCAGCGCGTGCTCCTTGACTCGCAGATGATGCTGGAGCTCGGCCGTCCGCAGTCCCACCTTGCGCAGCTCGCGCCGCCGCCGCTGCCGATCTCACTCACCGCTGTCCCGCCGCAGTTTATGTCGGGCCCATGCACGCTGACTCCAGTTCAAAAGGCGGCCATGCTCAAGCATCTGCAGGCGCTGCAGGCGCAGCAGAACTCGGAGATGGAGCGCGAACTGGTGCACATGTATGAGATGCGCACGGCACACCTGGAGAAGCATGTGCAGATGCGCGAGCAGATGCGCGAGCTCGGGATCAGCAACGTCGCCGCTGAGCAATTGAGCACACCGACGCCGATGTCTTTTGACTCACCGGCCCCGTCCGGCAGCAATCCTTTCGCTATTACATCATCGACGCCCACCAATGCGGCCGCCGAAGCTGCTGCGCCCGGCGACGATATCCCCGCCAGCAGGGGCGCCACCACTTCGGGATCGCCCATGGCCGTCTCGGCCGTCGCTTCGCCGTCGCTGTCGTCACTACCGTCGCTTGACACGTGGAACGAGTCGTCACTCCGCTCGCTGCCCACGCCTGGCGTCAACGGCGACGTCTCTGCCCACAGCTTTGCTTCGTTGGACAGCTCGGGTCTATTTGCGCCGTCCGGAGCAGCCGCAATGGACCTTGGAGGCTCCAGCGCTGTTGCAGACGCATACCTCAACATCCTGCAGGGCACCTCGAACAGGGCCGAGAATTGGTGAGTAAAGTCACACGCTCAGCCAGCTGCGCAGCTCCTTTACTCATCGTAGCCCAGCGACGCTCACTTGCGCGGCTACAGAATGGTGCACGAGCACTTGTTGAGCTTTTTGCTCTGTTTGGCAAATGTCCGCGACGTCGCGGACAGATCTGAGCACACGTCACAAGTGAGTAGATGGAAGATACGCCTCCAGCCTCCCTCCCGTTTTCTCTCTCCATCTCCCTCCTCCCTCCCCCTCCACACAAACTGCACGTACCGGATGAGCGCTGGACAAGCTCCTCGATGCGCTCGCCGCGCTCGAGCAGCTTGTCGATGGCGACGAGCATGTTCTCTTGTGTCTCGTCCAGATCCGACTGGATGCGTGTGATGTCATCGGCGTCGGCCGGATTGTCGAAGAGGGCGAGCTGGTCAGCCAGGGCGGGGATCTCCAGCGCCTGGTCGGTGGCCACGTCCTCCCACTCGGGCAGGGCCTCCTCCACCTCGCTCAGAGCCTTCTCGATCAGATTGAAGGCGACCCGCCCGGGATAGTTGACATCTGTGATGACCGCCGCGGCCAGACCATCCGGGCGAACTCGGGCGTGGACTACGACCGAGTTTTCGAACGCAGCTTCGTTCTCCTGCAGCACACTCTGCCGATTGCCAGCCTGCGTCCGCGAGACCACCGTCCGCGACCCGAACCGCAGGAACTCCTTGACCGTCCCACGCGTCCAGAACGAGAACCTGTGCCCTCCCCACACGGTAAGCAGAGTCTGTACCCCTCCCTCCCCCCTCCCCCCCTCCCCTGTCCCTGTCCCCTCCCCTCCCTCCCTCCCTCCCCCTCCCTTCCTTCTCCTCCCTCCCACCCCGCCCTGGAACACAGCCTCCATAGCCAGGCTCCCTCCCCCCCCCTTGCCAGGAACACGACACATACGAAGACACGTTATGGTTCTGTGTAATGATGTATGGCTCCACCTTGAAGCCCATGTGCTTGAACGTCATGATCGAGTACAGCGGCATGCTGGGCCCCGTGCAAGAGTATGACAGAGAGCGGTGGGGCGAAGCAATGGAACGGTGTCGGCTGGGGCGAGAGCCACGAGCCGCTCGGGATGATGGTCACGAATGCGATTCGCCATCACAGCCATGATACCACGGCCATGATCACGATGAGAATCACAGCCATGATACCACGACCATGATCAAGATGAAAATCACAGCAATGACACCACGGCCATGATCACGATGACAATCACAGCCATGATACCACGGCCATAGATACCACGATCACAACCATGACCACAATCACAGCCATGATACCACAATCACAACCATGACCACAATCACAGCCATGATACCACACAGCCATGATACCACAATCACAACCATGATACCACAATCACAACCATGATACCACGATCACAACCATGACCACAATCACAGCCATGATGCCACAATCACAACCATGACCACAATCACAGCCATGATACCACAATCACAACCATGATACCACAATCACAGCCATGATACCACAATCACAACCATGACCACAATCACAGCCATGATACCACAATCACAACCATGACCACAATCACAGCCATGATACCACAATCACAACCATGACCACAATCACAACCATGATACCACAATCACAACCATGATACCACAATCACAGCCATGATGCCACAATCACAACCATGACCACAATCACAGCCATGATACCACAATCACAACCATGACCACAATCACAGCCATGATACCACAATCACAACCATGACCACAATCACAGCCATGATACCACAATCACAACCATGACCACAATCACAGCCATGATACCACAATCACAACCATGACCACGCCACCACCACAATCGCGATCACGATCACGATCACGATCACGATCACCGCCACCGCCACCCCCCCCACCCCCCCACCCCTCTCCCACACTCACCATGGCCACCCGCCGCCTCGCTATCGTCACTGGCTCCAACCAGGGCATCGGGCTCGAGGCAGTCAAGCAGCTCGCGGCAGCCGGCCTCGACGTCATCCTCACCTCGCGGTCGGAGGAGAAGGGCCGGGCGGCGGCGGAGGAAGCTTCTGCGGCGGCGTGTTCGGCCGACGCTCCCGGCAGCATCACCGCGCTGCAGCTGGACATTACCGACACCTCGTCGGTGGCGGCCTTTACCGCGGCGGTGGAGCAGCTCGGCCGGCCGGTCGACGTGCTGGTCAACAACGCGGGGATGGCCTACAAGGGCGATGCCTTTGGCCCCGACGAAGCCGCCGCTACCCTCGCCGTCAACCTGTACGGGACCAAGGCGCTGACCGACGCCGTCCGCCCGCTGCTCGCGCCGGCCTCGGCACGCATCATCAACGTCGCCTCGCGAGCCGGTCGCATCTCGCAGACCTCGGGTGACGTCCGCGCTACCCTCGAGGCCGACGATCTGACATGGGACGCCCTCCACGCCCTCGCCCAGGGCTTTGTCACCGCCATCGCCACCGGCAACCACAAGGAGCTCGGCTACTCGGGCTCCATGTACGGTATGTCCAAGGCCTGCGAGATCGCCTACTCTCGCATCCTCGCTCGCGAGCTCGACGGCAACGTCACCGTCGTCTGGATGTGCCCGGGCTACTGCTCCACCTCGATGTCCTCGTACCGCGGGACAAAGTCGGCAGCCGAAGGCGCAGACACCATCACCTGGCTTGCCACCGTCGACCCGGCGCCGGCCTCGGCCACTTTCTACGCCGAGCGCACCGCCATCACCTGGGATACCAAGTTGTAGCCGTACCACATCCACAGCTAATGCCTTTTACACTACACGCATTCCGAGCTACACCGAGTCCATCCACTGGCGCAGGACGCCGGCAACCACGTCCGGCAGGCCCGCAATATCGCGGAGGACAACGTAGTACTCAAAGGGGAAGCCGTCAAGAGCAGGCTCGACCTTGAGCTGTCCGTTGACGTAGCTGACCGACGAGCGCTTGAGGATCGACTTGTCGTCGTCGGCCGAGTCGATGATGATAAAGACAAGGACCATGTTGCGCGACGCCGCGTCGAGCACGTACCGCTTGACGGCCTCGCGGTTGGGAATGACGCCGTCCGAGACCACAAACATGAGCTGGACGTGCTCCGGCCCACGCGCAGACAGCCGCGCCTCCTCCAGCAGCCGCAGGCTCGTCTCCATCAGCGCGTCGTACTTGGTCGACGTTTGGCCAAACGAGAACGCCGAGCACACCCGCCCGCCGGCCGCCGCGTTGAACGGCGTACCGAGTGCGTGCAGCTCGCGCACCTGCTCGCCAAACGACACAATGCCCAGCTCGCCAACCTCGAGCTTGGTCAGCGCCTGCGCCATCATCGTCATCGCCGCCAGCGCCGTCGACCCGGCGCCCTGCTCAGACATCGACTCCGAGTCGTCGATCGCCAGCAGGACCTGGTACATCCGCTTCGACGGCTTGGTCCGCCGCAGCCAGATCTTGTCGCGCTTAAACTGCGAGGCAATGTACGGGATGACCTTGCGCATGTTGATCCGCTTGCCGGTCCGGTAGTCGCCGCGGAGCGCAGACGCAAGCTTTGGCTCGAGCACAAGCCGCAGCTGCTCGCAGAGCGACGCCGACAGGTCCGCCGTCGCCGCCACGTTGGCCGCCCACAGCTGCGACCCGAGCGCTTCGGCCTCGAGATTCATCGGCACCGCCTCCTCACCCTGCAGAAGCTCGGCGGCCTCAACCTCGTCGTCCTCGACCGCGTCGCCGGGACCAGCCACTGGCTCATCGACCACTGCACCCGGGTTGTGGACCCAGTCCATGACCTTGGGCCCTCCCTCGGCGCCGTCGCGTCCGCCGTCTTTCCCGGCGCCGTCTTCGGTTCCGGCCTCCTCGTCGTCGTCAGATCCAGAGCTGGAGCCACCAGCACCGCCGGCTCCGTCGTCCTCGGGTTCGGCAGTCTTCTTGCCTGTCAGCAGCTCACGGAGCTTGTCCATGTTCGACGGCAGCGCCTTGTTCGGCTTCTCAGCTTCGCGCTCGTTGCTCTCGGACGCCTTGGGCGGCGGCGGCGGGCCACTCGCCTCGCCAGCCTCGCCGTCATCGTCGTCGTCGAGCCCACCCTGGGCATCGTCGCTCTTCTTCTCACCACCGTCCTCCTCCTCCCCGAGCTCCATGGCCTGGACGCCATCGTCGTCGTCGTCGGCCTCGGCCTCTGGATGCGCCTCGCGGTCCTCCTGGGCCTTCTCCTGCTGGGCCTCGACCTGCTCGTCGAGCGCGGCAGCCATGACCTGGTCATCGGCAGGCGCGTCATCGTCGTGGACAAACTCAAACTCCTGGTCTGCCGCCCAATCGCGCTTCTCGCCGCCGGTCTCCTCGGCCTCACGCTCGTCGACGTCCTCCTTCTGCTGCGGCTTGTCAAAGTCGCCGTCGTCAATCATCCGCGCCCGCTCCATCCACTCCTGCAGTGCGTCGCCGAGCGACCGGAACGGGTTCGACTCGGACCCGCGGGTCTCGTTGCTCGCTTCGGTCTCCTGCGACTCGTCAGCCTGCGCCCCGGCGTGGGTCTCCTGCGCCAGCGCCTCTTGCTCCTGCGTCCGCGCTCCGGCAGTCGTCCCCACGTCGTCCACCTGGTCCTGCTCGTCCTCGCCGCCAGCCGGCTCCTGCTCCATCACCGTGTTGTGCTCGCCGGTGTCGACCGTCGGCACCGCCGCGTCGAGCGCCTCGAGCTCCTTAGTTGACTCGTGCCGAGCCTCGTCGTCCTCCTCGTCACCGGCGTCGTCCTCCTCCTCGCCACCGGCGTCGTCCTCCTCCTCGCCGAGGTGGCCTTCATCGAGCCCGTCGTTGCCGGTCTCGTTCTGCTCGAGATCGTCGCCTTCGAGCTCCATCTCTTTGAGCTCGTCCTCGCCGCCGTCGTCGTCGCCCTCGCGCTCTCCGGCCTCGTCCTCAGCCTCAGCCTCGTCTTCAGCCTCGGCCTCGTCGCCGCTACCGGCGGCCTCGTCGTTCTCCTCCTCCTCGCCACCCTCGACATCCTTGTCGGCAAGCGCATCCACAAACTCTTCGTTGTCCTCCTCCTCGCCGCCCGACTCCTCCTCCTCGGGCCCGCGATCGTCGTCCTCCAGCTTAAAGTTGTCCATGTCGAGCTCCAGGTTGCCGCCTTCGTTATCCTCCGGCATCTCATTGGGCGCACCGAGCTCACCGAGCTCACCGTCGTCATCTTCGTCCTCGGCCTCGCCAGACTCGGAGCCATCATCGCCAGACTCGTCGTCCTTGCCCTTCTCCTGCGGCTGCTCCTCGTCTTCGGGCTTGGACTCGTCCTCGCCATAGCTGTCCTTCTCCACAGCCTCGAGCTCCATCTCCTGGACCTTGGACGCGTCGAGCTTCTGCTCGTCGTCGACGCCCTCAACATCGTCGAGCTCGTCCTTCTCGTTGACGTCGTCGTCCGAGTCCCACATCCGCTCGTCGACAAGATCCTCATTCTCGTTGTTCTCGCCCATCTGCTCGTCCATCTGCTGCGGCTCGCGCTCATCCTGCGCGTCGTCCTCGTTGGCTTGGTCCTTAGGCACGTCCATGAGCTCGCCCTCAAAGTCGTTCTCCATCTCCTTGCCGCTCTCCGGCTCGCCGACTTCGCGGTCTTCCTCCTGGTCCTGCGGCGGCGGCGGGGCATCGTCCTCGAGTCCGAGCAACTGCTCCTCGTCCTCGATTTGGTCCGACACGTCGTTCTTGCCCTCGCCCTCGCCCATTCCAGTCCCGTCCTCCCACTTCATGTCCATCGGGCCCTCGCCACCGTCTTCGCCCTCGCCTTCACCGTCCTCCTCGTCGCCGCAGAACCCGGTCTCCAGCAGAGACGCCGCCACCGCGCCGAGCACAAACGCCATTTTGGACACACACCGGTGGAGCCGTGCTCCACCGGAAACCACACGCGAGTAGAACCCAGACGCAGTGGTAACAAGGACCGAGACGCCGGTCAGCACCTCCTTGGCTCCCGCTCCCAGCAGCCCAGCGCTGGCAGCCTCGCTCGCCGCCACCGTGAGCGCTCGCGCCGCCACCGCCAGCCTCCCGCTTGCCAGCGCGTCGACCATCGCCCGCGCCAGCGCGTCGGCAGCCGCGAGCTCGTTGCCGCCCTCGTCGGCAACTTCCCCACCTTCGCCACCGCTGGTGGACTGAGCGCTCGCGTTCGCGCTCGCGCTCACTGCAGCCATCACTCCCTGCATCTCGACAAGCGCGGCCGAGACAACTTGCGCAGCAGCAAGGAGGACCTCGCCCTCGGCCGGCACAACAGCGCCGGCATCAGCAACCCGAGCCGTCGCCGTGTCAGCCACGCTCGACATCGCTGCAGCCACACCAGAGAGGCACTTGCCCAGGCGGACGTCGCCCCATTTGCTCTCGCAGATCCCGTCCCACTTGGCGAGCCAGCCCTCGGCCGCGCTCGTGGTCGCTCGAAGCTCGGCAAGCGCCTGCGGCACGTTGATCACCGCCGCCTCAAGCACTCGCTTGAGCGCGTCACCAACGCTCGCAACAGAGGCCCGCAACGCCTCGACACCCGATGACGACCATGCCGTCCCATACCGCGCGCCCCACTTGGCAGCGTACGCCGCAAGCGAGACCGACTTGATGACCAGGACTGTCTCATCAAGCGCGAGCTGCGTGCCACGCACCCGCCGCAGCGTCGCCTCCACCCGCGCCCGTGCCTCGCCGGTCGTCATCGTGACAGTCTCGGGCGCCTCGCTCTGCAGGCTCGCCACAACGCTTTGCAGCGCCGACGCCAGCTTGGCAAGTTCGCCTGCGCTCTGCGCACCGGCCAGCATGCTCGTCCGCTCGCGACCGGCCAGCGCGTGCATCGCCAGTGCAAAGCCACGGAGCCGCGTCGACTCACGGGTCGAGAGATCCGTCGAGCCGGCGAGCGCCTGCATCCGCACCAGCGGCGTCAACGCACGCCAAAAGTACCGGTCGGCGTCGCCGAGCCACTGGGCAGTCAGCTCGTCGCCAGGCTTGGCCTCAGCAAGCGGCGCTACCGAAAAGACTTGCGGCAGCGACTCAAACGTGTCCGCAGTGGCATGGTGCGAGAGGCCCATCGCCTCCAGCGCCTTCAGCCCGTCGGTCAACGCCTTCTTCTTCAGGCTCATCGCCTTGGTCGCCTCCTGTAGCTTCTTCATCCGTGCCAACAGGCCAGACACAATGCCCTCGACGCTCTCCACACCGGTCACCGCAAACGTTGCCGCAGCAGCCTCCCACGCCGCCTGGCTGTATCCCACGTACTTGCGCACGCAAGAGTCGAGTCGCTTCGTCATCTTGGCGCCGACATCAGCTTCGTCGAGCATGTCAAGCGCAGCCAGTGCGTCGTCCGAGAGCGTAGCCAGCGCCGCGCTAGCTGCACCGGGCACATCGCCCGCCAACTCGGCGCTTCCGCCGTCGCCGCGGCACCCCTCGTTGAGGCCCTGCACGCTCAGGCTGGCGACGGTGACCGAGTCAAAGACCGGAACCATCGGCTGCGCGAGCATGTTGGCATACTTGCGGACATACTTGAGCAACTTGCGGTGGGTCGCCTCGGTCGCCGCCTTCATGCCAAAGTACGTCTCGTCCTTCCACCGCGCAATCTTGGCCGTGTTGACCAGCTCTTTCTCGATCGGCTCACGCCTGGACCGCACGCTCCGAGCACGCACCTCGTCAAAGATCGAGTAGTACGCCACAAGGTGGCTGACAACAACTCGCGCGTGTGCGTCGGCACCCAGCTGAAGCCGCATGTGGCCCATCAGCGCACGTAGCAGCTGCAGCCGTGACCGGAACTCGCCAACAGAAGACGTCTCCATAAACGTCACCAGCGTCTCCACCAGCGCCTTGGCGTCTGCCACCACCGCAGTTCCGGCCCTCGCCACCGCTGCCGAGCTCAGCTGCGGCGCCATCTCGGCCGAAGCTTCGCCGTGGACAGCCATCTTGTACAGCCAGAACCACCACGCCGCCGCACGCTCACCGTGCTTGCGGTCCTCGCTCTCCAGCAGCCAGCTCCACGACTCGACCATCCGGCGCCGCCAGAACTTGATGAGCACCTTGATCGGCCGCAACTCGGCAACGAGCGAGACCTCCTTGGACGCGTACTGCTCCCAGTCCTGCGACCGGAACAGCAGTAGCTCCATGCCAAACACCGCCTTCATCAGCGGCGTCGAGACTGGGAGCGCAAGGAGCGAGTCGGTTACCAGCCTCAGACCAACAAGCGCGGGCTGGTCTGGCCACGTCTCGAGCAGCAGCGCGAGCTTGGCCCGCAGCGCGCCCAGCGGCGCCTGAATCCGGGTCAGCTCGCCCACGTTGGCGTCGTTGTGGATGTCGTACGTCACGCCGGTCTTCACCAGCGAGCACGATAGCGCCACGGTCGCGTCGTCGTTGGTGGTAAACTCAAGCCCCAGCATCGGCTCCTCGCCCTCGCCCGGCCCGATGCCAGATTTCATCGACGGCCGGACGACCGAGACGAGAACGCCTGACATGAAGAGGAACGCAGCCTGCGCCGCCGCATCCAGCCGCCCGAGTAGCCGGATCGGGCTCGCCGTCTCGTCGCCCTCACCGACCGTGAGCATGCGGCAGACCTCAAACGCGACTTGGTTGACACGCTGCAGCAACGACCGCCCAGCAACCTTGCTCGCCTTGCTCGCTTGCGCCGCCGCCGCAAGCTCTGCCACCTGTTCGCCAAGCTTGACCGAGCCGAGCGCGTCGAGCGCCCCGACCTCGCCCTCGACAAAGACCTGCGCGTAGACCTGAACCATCTCAAACACCGTCTTGGGCGAGAGCACCTTGGCTGCGCCGCGCATCCCCCGCTTGCCACGGACCCGGCCTCCTTGGCCGGAGGTGGCCTCAGCAAGGAAGAGCGAGCCGGTCAGCGCCTCGTTGCTCGTGCCCTCATCCATGCTGCGGATGCCCTCGGCATGCTCCTTGAGCTTCATCTCGAGCTCAAAAGGAATCGAGCCGTCTGGATCAACAAGCTCGGCAAAGTCGGCTTGGTAGTCGGGGAAGAACTCGGCAAACTCGGCTTCCTGCTCCTCCTTCTCCTTCTCGGCCGTCGCGTCCCACGACTTGGTCACTGTGCGGAAGGCGGCGGCAGCCTCGGCCTCACGCGCCCGCCGCGCCCCGTCGGCCTCGAACCACGCCTCCATAAAGGCGTCAAAGAGCGACGAGACAAGCGCGAGCTCAAACTTGGTCAGCTTGCCTGGATCGTTGTCGCACTCTGTCGCCAGGTGGACAAGCGTGTAGCCCATCATCAGCCGGAGGAGTGCAAATCGGACCGCCAGCGAGGCCTTCACCTGCTTATGGGTCATCAGCTTCACCACGCACTGCACGTTGGCGGGAAAGCCAAAGGCAGGGCCCGACGGGACCTGCACCAGCGACGCCACCGCACCCGAGACTGCGAGGCTGCCGGCCTGCAGCACACCGTCGGCCGCGCATCCGGTCAGGATCTCCAACCCAAAGGCGGCCATCTTGAGCGCAGTCGTCAGCGGCGCCACAACATCACCGAGCTCGGTCTCAAACTTGCCTGTGAGGCGCGTGGTCACCGTAGTCACCTGCTCCCGCGCCAGGCTCGCCTTCTCCACAACTCCAGGCGACGGGCTGCCGCGCGCCACCGCCTCGGTCAGTTCAGCTTCAAGCGCCATGACAGCCTGCGGCTCAAGGACCGACGACATGAACCCGTCGAGCATCGAGTACAGCTCGGCAAAGCCTGGTCGGGCCGAAGTGCAGACTCCACCATCCGGTAGCGCCCGCATAAAGTCTGCCACCTGCTCCTGGAGCATAGCCATGACGCCAGCGCGGACGCCGGCGCGGACATGAGCAGACTCGGCCGCGGCGCTGGCTCCGGTATCTCCGCTCGTCCGGACCACCTCGCTCGACACATTGTCGGTAGCTGACTCGGCCTCCAGCGCCGCGAGCCACGACTTGGCCAGACGGAGCGCCTCCAGCGGCGCCGCTACCGGATCGATCGGCTGTGTCGGCGTAAGGAGATGCGCCCTCACAGCGCCAACCAGAAGGTGGGCCCGACCCTTGGCCGCCAGCGCACGGAACCGCGCTTCCAGCGACGCGGCTTCGTCGAGCGCCACATCGCTGTCGACAGCGTCGATCTTTGCCAGTGCCGCCTCGTGTGCCGCCAGGGCCTCGAACAACGGCTCGCCAAGCTCCGCCATGACCGCCACAAACCGCGGCTCGTGGACGCCAGACGCCACGGCCTCGGCAAGAAGTGCCCACTTGCCCTCGTCGAGAAGCGCCATCCACTCGCCAAGTGCAGCACCCGACGGGCGGAAGGCAAACAGGATCTGGGTGAGGAGGCCACGGAGGAGACCGCTGTCGGCGGCCAGTAGCATGTCGGCCGACTCGAGGACAGCCGACGATGACGCCGACAGGACCGCATCGAGCAGCGAGCCGACAAGCACGTACTTGGACGAAAGCTCTGCGAGCCGGATCTCGTCCCATGCACCAAGCGTTGAGAACGCTGCCCGCGTGGCAAACGCCGAGTACAGCTCAAGCGGAGCTACAAGGCCGGCCGGCTCGAGCAGGCCATCGAGTACTGAGCCCATGCACCGACCGAGAAGTTCGTACGCTAGTGGGAGACCGGTCCGCTCCACTTCGGCAACAGGGAGCGACGGCAGTGCATCGAGGACCCAGTGCGCGAGCCGGAACACGACATGGACCTCCACTGCGGCAGGGTCGTAGGCTTCGAGCTTGGCCCCGCCGTCCTTGGTCACAGCCTCGTTTCGCAGAGCATCAAGCACCGCCCGCGGCACGCTCTTCTTGCCGCCCGACGCCACAATAGCAGGCAAAGCGCCAGCGACCTCACATAGCAGCCGCATCTTGGCCGACGCCTGCGCGAGCGCCTTGAGTGCGCCGACAACAGAGTCGTCGCCGCCACCCACCGACTCGTTGTTTTGAGCCAGCAGCTCCTGCGAGGCCGCGCCCTTGGCCATCGAACTCACCACACCGGAGATCGAAGCCTCCAGCGCGTCCATCAGCGCGTCGCGGGTGGTGTCGTCGCTGGCCTCGGGTCCGATCCGCGCATCGGCCCAAAACGCAGCCGCAAGGCCGTCCACCAGAATCTCGAATCGCGGGCCGTCGATGATGCCCTCCGCGCTGGAAACAGTGGCATGCAGCGCGCGCGCGCGCTCCGAGACGAGACCCAGGCGGCGGAAGCCCTCAAAGTAGAGCACGTCGTCCGAGATGATGCCCTCGCCGCGGGCAACGCGATCAAGCGCGTCCATCGCGTCGCGGGTCGCCGCCGACCAAGCCGCAACCATGGCTTCGCTCCGCATGAGCGCCGAGAGCCAGCGCCAGCGCAGGAGAAAGGCTTGGCGGGTGGCAAAGTCCCAGTCAGCCGGAGACCGCACCTGGGCCAACAGGCCGAAGATCTGATGGAGTGAAACCGCGATACGCTCCACGCCTTCGTACGACTCGGCCGCCACGGCGCCCGAGCTCAGCAGAGTAATCAGGTCGTCCTCGGCGTGGCAGAGAAGCGGCGCAAGCCACCAAGTGTAAAGGCCCCACACGTGGGCGCCATCGACATCGCCCGATGCGACTCCGGCCGAGAGCTGGAGCAGCGACATGGACGACGCCTCGAGCTCCCTAGCAGCAGCCGTACGATATCAGCAGGCAAAGCGCCAGCGACCTCACATAGCAGCCGCATCTTGGCCGACGCCTGCGCGAGCGCCTTGAGTGCGCCGACAACAGAGTCGTCGCCGCCACCCACCGACTCGTTGTTTTGAGCCAGCAGCT